ATTGTTACTTCCATCCAGGCAGCTGGGAAGGATGCTGTAACATTGGTAGCAGCAACAGCCTCGAGCGTGCACCCCATGATTACGGCTCGGAGGGCCAACAAAAATGGCCTTGCAGAAGGCTTGCTGGAAGACAAACGCAAACCCTCCCCGGCCTTGGCAGCTTTCCCCGTGTCCTCCACCGATGCATCTGCGATCCTAGGTTGCCAAGAAACTATAGGAAACTCAGAACTGTGGCTGCAAGGTGTTCACTCGGGTGGGGCCATGATGCTGAATAAGATCCCTTCGAAAGGCCTGCGGCCAGGCACGAACGGAGCAAGCGAGCGAGAGTCAGTCAGTCAGTCAGTCAGTCAGTCATGAGTGAATTTAGTGAGGTGAGCAGAGGGGAGTGGAGTGAAAGTGAGAGTGCACTCGGTCTGTTGGGCTCCAGTTGTACACAACCTCGAGGCCTTGTTGAGCCAGGGACAGCATCAACTGACATGTTGGTACAGGAATGGTTGCTTCTCAACACAACCAACCAACTAATCTGAGTGGGCCTAAAAGAATATGAGTCCCATCTCACACCCACATTGTCAGATCAATATACAAACACCCGAGGCCCCCCTTCACATGTCACCGAGAAACGGAACGAGGCCAGTAGCGGCTGTCGCCTCAGACGCCTGGCAGTGGCTTGGGTTCGACAATGGAAAGCCTCCAAAGCTGCGGCTATTGTCCAACCCATGAGCCTCCCTGGAGGGGTTGGAACATCTTGTATACGACTTCCCGGCCAAGCAGTCTTGATGATCCAAGACCAAGATCTCTGGATAGAATTGTCTGGCTCTTGCCGTCTTGTTTATCCCCCTACTTCAGCCGCTGGCCACGGGCGAAAAGACTCAAATGTGCACCAGAAGCAAGGGTACCACGCTTCCTCACACTGGGTCTCGCGTATTTATTATATAGGCCTCCTGGGACGAGTCAGAGCAAGTCAAATGGCCTCCCATAAACAACCGGAGCTAGCTGTGGTTGCTGTGAAGAGTCCAATTGCCCTGTGCCAGTCGACCTGAAACCCTGGAACCATAAGTGCAGTCAGGGGGGAATCGGGTGAATCATCTACAAACTCCTCCAATCCAAGCTGTCGTCTGTGTCTCGTTCGACGGGACAACGGACGCAGTTTTGGTTTGAGGATGGAGTATATTTTGGGCACGCCCTGATGTTTGTCGTAGTAAGTCTTAATTGCCGCATAACCCCATCTGCTTAAAGACACGCTTCACCCTTTAATGCCCAGACGCCCAGATCTGGACCTTGTGAGACTTGGCACTCGGGCTCTCTGGGGCCTGCGCGCCAGTGTTCGACCAGAAGATCTTCGTTGGGTACTACTTGGCGTTCATTGGAGCATAAAATCAGCCTAGATGATCCTAGATGTGTCAATACCCCTAGGTTACTGATTGAGTTCTATGCGTGGAGAAACGCAAATGTATGTTAATGTTTGGATTGCCCTCACATCTCTATCTGAATTGAGTGAAGGAGACGGGAACGCTTGGAACAGCATAGGAACATGAGGCGAAGGGGGGAGCGTCTGGCCAACCTTTAACTTTGAAGTCCGGATGCACCAGTGCGGTTTCTCACTGAGGGTTCGAGAACGTGCGGTTCTTCATCAAGCACACGGATACGTAATGGCAGGACCTCAAAAAGAGGCTCACGAGTAAATCAGCACTGCCTGGTAGGAGGCCTGTGCTCTTGAGGCACGTTACGTCCCTAAAATATGGTTTTAAGGATCGAAAACGGTGTCCAATAGTGTCTAACTAGTCTTTTTTTACATTATGTGTACATATCAGTATATATTTATATGGTACCACCCCCCCAAGCGTCTACCTTTTTTGGTTGTTATTGGTATTTGTGGAGCTTTATTGACACTTTGGAACTTGTGAAAAAAGAGTGTGTTTTTGATGCACTTTCCACATGGGAGGGTGCCATATATATATATATGTATATATCTATATAAGAATCGATGATGTAATGAAGGAGAGTAAGGCACCTCCAGTACTTATAGAGGATTGAGGCAAGAGAGAGGTACGCACAGGTACGCGTACCAAGTCTTAATCCTCAATCTTCAATCCAGGAGGTACGCGTACCTGTGCGTACCTCTCTCTTGCCTCAATTCTCTAAGTATTGGAGGAGCTCGCGTCAGTGCAATCGCCAAAATTTTGTCGTGGCAGCTTGTGATTCATCAAGACTACTAGGTGTTCACTGCGTAGTATTTGTTGATGGCATCTTCTCCCATGAACGTCAAGGGGAAGGTGCAATTCAATGGTCAGCGTGCCATGGTTGTCCTGGAGCCAGAGGTCACCGTCAATCTTGTACCACGCCCATCCTCAGGTGACATCATTGCCAAGGCTCTGTGTGACTGAAAATCAAAAAGTACCATAATAATAAGAAATGGTCAAACAAAAGTCAGTCAAAGTATCCATCACGTCGAAAAATTGTACTCACAACCCTGCAGGCGAAAGCTGGTGACCTTACAGTGCATTCGTCTCGTACGCCATTGACTTCTAAGTTCCTTACGAATGCCATGAATACCATCCAGCGCCAGATGCTGCTTGTTCCCGGCCAAAGTGGACAGTGGAACCACGATGCGACTGCCCGCCTCGAGACGTTGCTGGCCAAGCCCTTCCAAGAAACCATCAATGCTCGCCATCGAAGACAAAAAAGATGACCGCAAAGAAAAGAAGCCCAAGAAAGGTAAGTCATCGTCATCTTCGTCCTCAGACTCCTCGTCATCATCTTCGGAGACAAAGCAGAGGAAAGTGGAAGAGCACCCTCGTTTTATCCAGGTCATTGAGCAGCTTGAGATGACAGAAAAGAAGCCGAAAGCGAAAACCGCGGACTTTGAGGGCATCTTCTGCGCTTTGTCTCACACACAGGAAGAATTGGACCAGGCCAACGAGAAGGTCAGGGCGCTTGAAGCGGAGAACCAGCAATTGCGCCGGTTGTTGGGAGAGTCGGACGATGACGAGGAAATGATGATTTTTGATTAGAGTAGAGACACTCGTCTGAAAAGCAGCAATGCACGCTTGTCCGCGTCCGGGAAAAAGATATCCTTGGAGCGAATCATCGGTATGTGTGTGGGTTTTTAACTTTGATGTCCTTGCGCGTCTGACATTCACTTTGCAACTCTCTACCATTCAGCCATACCTGTATCTACAAAGTAAGGTGGCATGCACACATACCTGCATCGACAAACGAAGACCTGTAGAATGGCATCTCCATCTGCAAGCTGAATGTGTTTCCATGTCTTGTCTTCGTCCACACCTGTACATGTCAGGCCTTTGCTCAAACTGTCACGGTCTTCAAGTAGTAGTCTTAAGTCAATCTTTGCCAGCCAGGCAATGGAAAGTTGATTTTTATGATTTTTTAATTTAGATCTTCATTTAGATCATCATTTTTTTACAAAATATTTTTGTTTTATTTTCATTTATTTTGGGATTATCATTTTTTTTGCGTCATGTTCATCCTTCCAGAACTGGTTGGCTTTGCTGTCATTTTTATGGGCTTCCAAAATCACTTCAGTCACAGTCAGCGCCTCAAACTATGTATAAATGCGTGAAGGGATTCCCTCACCCATCCCTTCCCGAGCAATCGAAACCAAGGATCAAAATCATGGAATGCAACTTGCAAGCTGCTGAGCTAAACCACTGGGCCCCAAAAGCCTGAGCCTAGTGGCCTAGTGGCCTAAAAATTTGTCATACAGGAATGGGAAGTAAAACAGGTTAGTGAAGAGACAGCCCTGAATGAACACTAAAAAAGCACACGAAATTATCAGAAACAATATAAACAGTATGACCCAAATGAAGACCAAAATGACAGATGAGAAGAAACTTAGTAACCAAATGAAAACCAACATCACAAATTAAATAAATGATGAACCAAATGAACACCAAAATGACAAATGAGGAAGCAAATGAAAACCAAAATGCCACACGAAAAAAAATTAAAAAAAGAAACGAAAAATAAATGAAAAGCAAAAACGAAACGAAAAAAACGAAAAAAACATGAAAAAAGAAACGAAAAA